TTGTAACTAGCACACACACTGTGTGAGGGCAGAGTGTGTTTGTAACTAGCACACACACTGTGTGAGGCTCGATTCCCAGAACAGGAGAAGCAAAGGGAAAAAAGAGAAGGAAAAGGAAAAGGAAAGGGAAAGGGAAAGGGAAAGGAAAGAAAGAAAAAAGAGGGAAGGAGGAGAAGAGGGAGGGAGGGGAGGAGGAAGGAGGGAGAGAAGACACAGGAAGAAAGAGAGAGAGGAAGGGAGGGAAGGAAGGAAAGAAGGGAGAGAAGAGAGAGAAAGAAAAGAAAAGAAAAGAAAAGAAAAGAAAAGAAAAGAAAAGAAAAGAAAAGAAAAGAAAAGAAAAGAAAAGAAAGAAAGAAAGAAAAGGGAGAAAGGAAAAAAGAAAGGAAGATGCAATGGGGGTAAACCATGAGGCAGCACTTAATACTGACAGCAAAAAATCATAAACTAGCATTTACAAAGTTGCAGGGGAAAAATATCTTATACAACACTTTACAAAAAATTTTTATACTGCTTTGGACATATAAATGATCTTCTTGGAAGGTAATCTGATGATATACATTAATTTTCAATTTTTAAAATTCATATCCTTTGGCCCAAGACTTTCGCTCAAGACCCAGGCATGGAGAATGTGCCTGCAGTCCCAACCACTCAGAAGGCTGAGGCAGGAGTGTGCACCTAGCAAAAAGAGCAAGACCCAAACAAAACAAAGTTTCATTCAAGATGAAACAGCTGTATGCAAAGATGTTTACAGAAGGACTTTCTTTTATAAAATGAAAATACACAGATTTGAGGAATGGTTAAAAGAATTATGGCAAATTAACTGTGAAAAGAAGCCACTCTAAAAAAAGAAAGCAAGAAGACCACATAGATCAAAGCAGTATAAAAAAAACGAAGTAAACAAGAACATTTACCCATACTCCATAATTATAAGTGCATGAAATTGTTCACAAACATAAAAGCTATATGCCAGGCACCTGGCCAAGCGCTCTGTATGTTTTCTATGGTTTATTCCTAATACCAACTTATGAGCTAGCTACATTTGCTCTAATTTATAAAATGAGAAAACTAAGGCCTTGAGAGCCACTGGGTCTTGCACACATACATATATATGAGGAACCAGGACTCAGCCATGGCCAGTGGGACCCACGTGCATGGAAATTAATTTAAGAGAGAAGGAGCAGATGTAATTTTTTGGTAAGGTTTTCAATAAGAAATTAGAAAGCAAATCATTCCACACAAGTCTCAATGAAGTGCTATACCATTAGTCTATTTCTCAGTTCCACCGCTTCTAAAACTTAAGAATATATTTATATAGACAGGCTGCCATTCACTCTCGTCTTATAAAAATGGTTACTTTACAGTTGTGACAACATGAGAAAACCACCTGGAACTCAGCTCTGGTTTTGCCCCAAATGTCTTTTTCATGCATAACTGCAACACAGCCAAATCATGTTCGTCTGTGAGAACTCCTTCAGGAGGCACGGCTCGCCACCACCACCCTGGACCTGGTCCTCACAGGCCTGAGGGCAACACACTGAGGGATGAAGATGTCCTCCTTCGTGTCCTCAAACCCCCTTGTGTCCCTCAGTGTCTAAAGGGCAGCTTCTGTCTCTCCTTGCAGGAGAAGCCTTCCTGTACCCTTTGGACAAACATGAAAGAGCCTCTGAAGTCCAGGCTGCCTGTGAGGTAAAGGGAATCCGTCATCACGGAAGAAAGGGGAGAGGCAGAGGCCTAGTCCTCAGTATTTGAGCGGGAAGAAATCCCTGGAGTATAACCACTACCCTTCGCGGATGGGATTTAGGAACGCTCTGGGCACTCAGGTACAGGACCATGCCACATTTCCAGGGCAGCCTGGGCTTAGGGACGCTTGGCTTTCTAAAGGTATGACTGGCACCTGCCTCGTCTGCTGGAACACAGTGTTCCTGGAGATAAGGACAAGCAGCAAAGGCATGTAAAAATAAATGTAGGGGAAATAAAGATTTGCTTAAAAGTCCAAGAAGATTGAGCCAACAGCCATCACCCTACACAGTCAATTTACCAATAGTTTTATAAGATGCTGGCAGAGATGGCCAAGAGAAACTATCACAGTAGCGTGGCCTCCTGGAAGTATAAAACGCTTGGTAGCTCAGCCACTGCATCTGAGAAGCAGCCAGTTGCAAAAAGCCAGTTCTCTTCGTCCATTTGCAAATGCTGGCCCTCCTCCACAAGCAACGTATTCTTCTAAGAGAAGGACGTTCACAGGCGCTCACAAGGCTGCATACAGTTCTCTACACACAGTCCACAGCCACCAGCTTGCTGTCACCTTCACGCAGACAGGAAGGTGCTAGCACACAAAGACGGTGGCTGGCACAGGAGCCCCAGGCAGGCTGAGGCAGCGGTTGCCGGAACTCCTCAGCTGCGGCTCATCCATGTCCCCAAGCTCGGGCGAGCGAGTTAATTCTGTTCCCCCAGGTCCCAAACGCTAGAGAAGAAAGATCCCGGTGCTGCAAGGACAAGCAAGGAGCCTTGCTGAACACAGGCCACCCCCACCTTGCAGTCCCTTACAGATGGCGAGCTAGCCAGGCAAGATAAGTTACCCGAGGGGCGAGGAAGCCCCTTACAGTGCTGACAGAAAACTGAACATTACAATTGTGTGTGTGTGTGTGTGTGTGTGTGTGTGTGTGTGTGTGCATGCACACGCGCTTTGTTTTTGTTTTTGAGACAGGGTTTCACTATGTAACTCAGGTTGGCCTTGAACTCACTTTGTAGCCCAAGCTGGGCTCAAACTCACAGGGATCCTCATCAGTGCTTCCTCAGTGCTAGGATTATAGGCGTGCGCCACCTGGCTGGAAGTTATTACAAAGTGACCCAAAGAGACTTCTACTCAGTCACACAGGTCAGTACAATGCCAAGATTATGCTTATGTGACAAAACTACATCACTTTGCATCGCTTGTCCTTCGTGTCACACTTCTGCAATCACAAACAAGCACCTACAAAATTATTTCAGTATCATCAGCTTAAACATCTGCCTTCCCCTAGCTATAGTTTACGGGAACAAAAACATCCATGTATCTTTCAACCTGCCCCAAATTAAGAAAAATGGCCAGCAGTCACTAAAACTTGGATGATCTTTAATAATCTTAGAAAATCAGTGCTTTTTTCTTTTTCCTTTCTGACAATCCCATTGAGACACAGGGAAGACAGGGAAAAAAAGGTTTGTTTTGAAACAGGTCCTTCTGCTCTCAATTACGGGGAAGCAGAGCCAGGTGCAGAGAAGTTCTACTTGGCTGTGGGCAGCGCGGACTGTCTCCTCCCCACTGGGTCCGGCAGTGGAAAGTGACAGCACAGTCCCCGGTGCCCCCACGGTAACCTGGCTCCACCCCCAGCACTGCCGTCCTCCCCCACTCAGCTCTTAGCAACCAGTTTAGCCTTCTCTTCCCTATTCTGAGAATTTCCTTAAATTAAGGAAATTTTTTTTTAAATTTCATGTATAAATAAGATGAAATAAAATCCAGTGTTGGTAAGAAATGAATACAAAGGCAACACTTTTAATTTCTGTACAGAGGACTATTTTAGGAGCACAGTGAAATGGAGAATAACCTTGGCTACCCAGAAGAAAGCAGAGACCAAAGAAGACGCGCCAATGAGAAGACTGAGGTCTGGGAGTCTCCTCTCTCCTGCCCTGCCTTAGGCCCCGCAGGCTGGGCAGAGCCCCGCTCCGTGGTGGCCCAGGTGAGGGCGCGGAGCTGCTGTCCACGCAGGTGTTCTGTGCGGTCACTCACCTGCGCCATTGGCCAGGCCGCTGTGGCTGGGGTTCTTGATGGGCTGGCGGTGCCGGTTCCTCGTACCAGGGCTCTGCTCCACGGTTGCTGCAGCTGTCCTGGCTGAACCACCCGAATGTCTGTGAGTTCTGGGGGTTCAAAGTCAAAAGCGGACAGACATAAGTCACTGCGAAAAAGAAAGAAGCATATCCCATCTAAGTCATCGTCCTCCCTCCCTTGCTGTTTATCGGGAGTGAGCCCTTTCATAGCCCCTACAGTTTTCACTCAAAAGAAGCTGGCTCCAAGCAGAGGCCCAGGGAAGCTTCCTTCTTGGTCAAAGCCCGAAAGGCAGCTTTGTGTAAACTTTTCCACTGGAAGTAAACACATCCAGAGTGAATTACCCCCACATCTGAAATAACTGGCCAAACAGTCAGTGACCATTGCATTATTTTTACTGGGCTGAAATGTTAAAAATAAACAAGAATCTCCAGACAGGCTGCAGATGAAAAATTTCTCCCATTAAGCAAAAAGAGCCCAAACTTCTCCACATCAACTTTCTCTAGAGCTAGAGAGATGATTCCCTTGGAAATAGAGGTCGAGGGGGATGATACAACTGTGGTCGGCGCACATGGTGACATGCTTCACCCAGGAAAGATGACGTCACAGCTCACCCACATACACGAGAACCAACACAGAAATGAATCTGTCACAAAGAAAACAGAAGCCTACGTGACGTCTTCAGAGAACACAAGGCGACAGCAGTACGCACTCATGAGTTCCTTTAGAGCGTGCTGTCCCTCACTCAGCCACAGGGTCTAAGCCGCCCTGCTCTGCAGTTCTGCTCTTTCACCAAAGGACACTACTCTACTTCTTAGAATTCTATACTCCTTTTTAACAGTGAGATGGTTTAAATACCATCTGCAGAAGAAAAGACCACCTCTCTCCAGGCAGAGAAACAGAGACCCAGGGAACAATTTATACTGTGACCTGAAGCAGGAAGACGACCATAAGCAATAAACATCATGATAATCACCACAGAAGTATATAATATTCATTGAGTTATAACACTATGTTCCAGTGCTACACACTCTACACATATTATCTCATTTAACTTGGCCACTTAAAAGTAGCTTACTGTTATTACTCCCATTTTACAGATTTTTTTAAAAAGACACAGAAATCCTATAGAAAATAAGCAATGAGACACAGGTTCAAGTCCAGCCACCCACCTGATCTTTGGCTGGAGGATGGGGGCGGGAAGACTAGACTAATGCTGACTTCTCCAGATGCTACGCTTCCACTGGTCCTTGTAAGCCCAGAAAGTTCCCTGCTGGGAGGACTCACCCCCACCAGAGCATCCCAGTGGCTAAGTCTCTGTCCAGCTGCAGTTGCTGGGATAAACCTGCAGCACAATAAGCAGGAGGCTCCGGGGCCAATCTGAACTGCCTCACGGCGCCGTCTCAGGGACAGACGCTTCTGACAGGCCAGGCATAAACCCAAACGTCAGCAGTGATTATCTGTGGACACTGAGAATATGGATGCTTTGGTTTTGCTTTTTTTGTGTTCTAGATATTTCCAGTTTCTTTCATTGAGCTTATATACTTTTGAGTAAGGGGGGGAAAAAATCACAATTTTTTTAAAAGAAAAAAAGCAGTTGTCTTAAGAAGAAAGACACAGACAGAGAGAGACAGAGACAGAGACAGAGACAGAGACAGACAATGACAGAGAGAGAGGCAGTAAGACACTTGCAAACCCTAAAGTCCATAGTACCTAGAGACCATGTTGCACTTAAAGTGGAGAGAAGGTACAACTGAACCATGGAAATAAAGATTCAGTTTGGATTCTCTTTTTCCATCCTAGTTTTCCTTGAGCTAATTTCATAAATCAAAAGCTGTCAACTATACCTCAAAGAAAAATATTTCAAAGTCCCCACTTCATAGGAAGAAACGCTAGTATTAAGCACTTTACCACAACTCCTCATCGAAAGCAGAATACGCAGACTAGTTCCAAAAGGAAGGGCAGTCATTAGCAACCGCCAGCATGGGTCTGCGCATGGGTCTGTGTGTGCGGGTGGGGTGTGCATGTGTGGCAGAGTTTGGGAGAAGTACAACTGGTTAGCACAAGGTTTATTTCAGCCAAGAACCCCCTGACAAGGACAAAAAGGCCTCCAGGATTTGGACCTTGAAGCCCCAGGAGAGGCCATATCCCTCAAGGAGCAGTAGGCCCTGCACAGGCAATGCTGAAATGCAACATCAACCCTGTCAGCCACACAGGCTGTGACAGCTCTGTGATTGCTTCCTGTGGCCAGGGCTCCTTGCCCCTCTGCAGAACGGCTGGGCAAGGCGACAGGGTGGGTCCCATTACTCTCCTGGCCCCTCCCTCCCCTCGGCAGAAGGGCATGCGGTCAGAGTTGAGAGAGAATGCTTTCAGAATGCTTCGCCACTAATGACAGCCGCTTGCCCCGAATGACAGGCTGGAGTAGGGCTGGGATTAGCCTGTAAACCAGTGGCAGCTGGGACCACTTTGCATGAATGGCTGCCTCCCTGCCCGTGGCCAACCACCACCCCACTCACACACATGCCACACCCACAAACCTTTCCAGAATCTCCCCCGGCCCTGAATCTAGAGCTTCCAGGTTTTTTGCCCTTGTGTTACCTTGAACATAAGACACTCCAAAGGAAGAGAAGGCCCTGACAATTGAGAGCCTCCTCAGCAGTTTCCGCTCTCGGAGGACTCACTCAGCCCTTACGATGCGACCGTGTCGTGATCAGGAACTGGCCTCCATGCTGAAACCACACGCCATGGGCCAAAATAGCACCGGGACGCACTCGGGCGATGGGCTGGAAATGAGCTGGCCTTCGCCGCAGCAGCCTGGCTTCAGCTCCGCCGGTGACTTCAACCTTGGCCTGATCCCCCTCGAGGTTTAGGGGGCAGGAAGGAGTGATGCGGCCCCCGGGCAATCAGAACAGGGCTGAGTGGCTGGGCTCGTCAGGCCAAACTCCAAAAGTGGTTTCAAGTTTTCACCTAGCTACAGAAATTCAGCTCTCTTCACAGCATGCCCCTCCCAGAATGTCGGTGTGTCCTTACCCAAGAGCCTCCCTTGGGGACCAGAGCCACCAAGGAGTGCCAATCAAGGCCAGCCCCTAGGAGTCTCTCTCCACACTCCGAGAAGTGTTCCCCTAGGAGTGGGTCCTGGTCGTCCCGTGGCATTTATGCTTTGCCATCACAGTCCCAGCCTCAGTCCTCGGCTGCACCACATGCCACAGCCCTGGACGCCTCAGGACGGCTGGCCTTGCCCCTCACAAAGGCCATGAATTGTACCCAACCATTACTTTCTGGGTGCGAGGTCCTGCTCTCAGGTGGGAAACAGCGGAGAGAGCCCCTGACCTGCAGGAGCGCACGCCTTGGTGGAACACTGCCCTGGTTTGGGCCTTCGCGCGGACGTCACCAACATCCGACCGGGTAACACTGGTGTTGGTGCTGCTTGGCAAGCTCGGCCAAGCACCTGGCCTCAGAGTAGCCTGCTTGGCCCTCGTCACAGATGCAGTAGTTTACGTGGAGTAATGAAATAAAACAAAATCCTGTTTGTCTGATTTAAAAACAGAAGCCTTTCTTCACAACAGTGTAGACAGACTTAATACTACTGAGCTGTACATTTAAGAATGGTTAAGACTGTAAATTTCATTATGTGTTTTTTTTAACCACAATCTGAGGTGGGGGGGAGGAAGCCAGCTGTAGCACTGCATTGGTAAAGTAAGTGAAAACAAAATGAGTTTTAAAAAGTGATGGCTCTCAAGTCAGAAAACGTTTTCTTGCAAAATTACGAAGAACTAAAACTCTGGGGCCGGGCATACAGCTCTGTGGCACAGCGCCTTGCCTGGCAAGTGCAAGGTCCTGAGTTCAAGTCCTTGTACAAAAAAAAAAACATCTGGTACTAGCTCTGATGTGGAGATTGCTAAAGCCATGGCGTCTTTTGTAGAAACCGATTTCAAAGAGCAGTTTATTCCCAGAACTCAACAAGAACAACAACAGGAACAGCAAACTAATTAAAAGTGAGCAAATGACTTACACAGAAAACTCTCCAAAGATGATATACAAATGGCCAGCAAGCATATGAAGATGCTAAAATTCAACAACCACAGAAACGTAAATGGAAACTATGATGAAATATCACCTCACATCCATTAGACCAGCTACTATCAAAGGAACAGAAAATAACAAGGACCAGCAGGGACTCAGAGAAACCGGAACCCTTGTCACTCCTGGTAGGAATATAATGGGGCGTGGCCACTACGGAAAACAGTATGGTGGCTCCTCAAAACATTAAAAACAGAACCCCAGATGATCCAGTAACCCACTTCTGGCTGTACACCTAAAAGAAAGGAAGGCAGGGGCCGAGATTTCTGCACATCCATGTTTGTTTGTTTTTTTTTATACTGGAAATCGAACTCAGGACCTTGCACTTGCAAGGCAGGCGCTTATGCCCCTGAGCTGTACCCCGGCCCCTCACACATCCAAGTTCATAGCAGCCCTGTTCACAGTGGAAGCAACCCCGCCACGGCCAGAGGCATGGACACCAAGAATGTGGCGTATATACAAAGCAAGGAGAATCTGACACACACTACAAGAGTGAGCCGTGACGGTATTACGCTAAGTGAAATAAGCCAACCGCCAAAGTTCCACAAATCCTGGATGATCCCACTATGTGGAATCTGGAAGAATCAAACCCAGAGCGGCTAAAAGAGAACGACAGTATCTTAGTTACGTTTCTCTTGTTGCTGAGACAAAATACCTGACACACAAGATCAAGGGAGGCAAGGTTTATTTAGCTCAGTTTGTGGAGGTTTCAGTCTGTAATCAGCTGGCTCCAAGACAGGGTGGCAGGACACAGGGGCAACTGTTCAAGGCAGCAGGAGACAGCAAAAGCGGCAAGGACAAAAAAAGGGGAAAGCAAGCCTCTTTTCTTCCCTTACATTGTATGCCCACTATCTGCCCATGCCATCTCCGCATCTTGTTCTTCCACAGGTTGAGGATGTTTACCAACCCAGGACCCTGGTCCCCTGCTGAGTCACTTAGTTAAGCTTGTAAACTTCTCAATTCTCAAGTTGACACAATGTATCAACCATTACAGAGGGTTTGCAAGGGCCTG